TCTCTCTCCTCCATGCCAAGTTGCCTCTTATAGGCCAACAGAAGCAGGAAGGAGCATATAGATCCAGGTCCAACCCCTCTTTGGGGAAAACTGGCCCAGAGAAGGGAAGTATCTTGCCCAAGGCCACATGGGGGTGGGGGTGGGGTGGGGGGTGGGGCTTACAGAATCCATTATTTACTCCAGCTTTTCATTATTTAATCTTGCCTTCCTGATCTTCTCTTTACACTATGCTGCCTTATATCAGGCAGATTCAGGATTGAAAAATCTGAAAATCTTTTTTGGGGCTGGGGCGGAAGGAGCACCAATATAGAAACTTGTGCCGATGGTCACTTAGGGTCTCCAAAAGACGAAGGGCAGCCCGAAGTTGCTGGCGCTGTGCTGGGAAGGGTGTGGTGGACCGGGCCCCTGCAGAAGCGACATGGAGGCCAAGGAGGTAGGTAGACTGGGCTGGGGCTGGGCCAGCAGGGGCAGGGGCAGAGGCCGAGGCCGGGGCAGAGTTTGGACTTTGGATATTCCAAGCTTCCTTAAGTTTCTGCAGGCCCCAGCCAACGTTGGGAAAGGCTTCAATAACACCCTGTATGTGCCTATGTCCTCTCACTCAGCTGGAGTTGGACACCAGGTGGGGGTAGATGTCTGGCAGGTCCCCCAGCCCAAAGAGGTTGGGGGGGGGGGGTCCTGCCCACCTGTCATAACTCCTTCCCTCCTGGGGTGGCCTCCCCTGCCCCAGCTGCCTTTCTCTCCCAAATGCCAACCCCAGCACCGGAGCCCATGGCAGAGAACCCTCTGAAACCTGCACACGCCCCTCTAGACACGAGTGTGCACCATGGCAGGGGGGATGGGGGGAGGAAACACAAACAGCTGGATGCAATCTCCTTCTCTCCTCTCCCCTGTGGCTAGCTGTTCCCCCTCCTTCTCCTTACAGCTGTTGGGGAAGGCGACCAGACGAGAAAAACACTCTTTCCCTCTTCAAACCAAAACAAACACACTCAGGGTTGAAGATCCAACATGAATCTGTGGAATGCAGGGAAGATGTCTGGTGGGAGGGCGTCCCTGCTGGGGGTGGCTTGGGGAGCAGGAGACCAAGCAGGAGGTGGGACAGCTCCCTCGACTTCCCCATCCTCAAGGGGTCAGAGGGAGCTCCTGGACAGCTCCAAACGCCCACACTGGCCCATCACTTCACCCAGCAACTGCCCAGCAGCTGAGGAGGCCCTCCAGTCCGGCTCTGCAGAGGGAGGGTGTGGCTGGCATGGCCGGGCGACTAAAATGCGAGGTGTAAAGGCCTGGGAGGGCTTAAATACATACGCCCACGGGTTCTTCCCAGGAACGGGGGAAGAGGGATCCACTAGGTGTTTATTTTCCCCAGGTCCCAGCCCTGGAGAGAAATACTCGGTACATGAGGTCCTCGGTTTACAGAATGGGAGGGTGCCCAGGAAACGGGGATCCCACTTCTAATCAAGAGAGGTGTGAAGAGCCCAGGGGCTGAGTTTAGGCAGGTTCTGGCCCGGTCAGCACTTGCCAGCGATTACCGACCCCATCCCCTACCCAACCCCTCCACTTCCCGCCAGACCTTGGCAACAGAAGGGCTGCCCAGGTCCCCGCCCCCTTAATCCCGACTCCCTAGAGCCGGCGGCGGCCCCGTGGGCCTGGAAGCCCGGTTGCGCCTCGGCTAAGGATCCGCGCACCCTGCGCACACCCTCCCTCCCACCCCACCCCCGCCAGCCTCACTTACAGGTAGCGCTGCTGCCGCTCCGTCTGCCGATGGAGGGCGACCGAGTAGCCGAAGAGGCTGCCCGGGTTCCTGGCCTCCTTCACCACCAGGAATCGGGTGTCCAGGTTGAAGGCGGAGGCGACACGGCCCCCGGCGGCCACCATCAAGGCGAGCGCGCAGAGCATCGGGCGCGGGACGCAGGCGGCGCGGCGGGGGCCGGGGCCCATGGCTGCGAGCGGGAGCGGGGGCCGGGGCGACAGCGCGTGAGGGTGCGGAGCTGGGAGTGAGGACCTGTTCACCTGCTGCCCGCGCCACCGCAGAACAGTCGCGCGGGCCGCGTCGTTGAGCGCCGCAGCGCCGCGCTAAGTTTCTGGCCCCCGGCCCCGGTCAGTCTCACGTCCTCTCAGGGTCTGCGCTCTCAGATTCCTCTCCGAGGTTCGCGGGTCGGTTCTCCCGCCTGCCCGGCCGCCGGGTCACCGCCCCCCCACCCCCCACCGCCCCGGGCACCCTGCCCCCAGCTGGTCCTGGCCGCGCCCCCTTGGCCGCACCGTGGCCCTCGATCCCGACTCGGCGGCGGCTCTGGGCACGCAGACCCGTGGACCGCAAGGAAGACCGGAGGGAGGGGTTCCCTCCGCGCGCGCCCCGCCTCCCCACGCCCAAGCCCGCACCTCCCCACCTTGCGCGCCCAGCCGGGGCTCCGCTTTCCTTCCGGGGAAAGAGAAAAGGTCCCGGCTCCGCCACCGCCTCTTAAAGGGGCAGCATCGCCCCTCCCTCCTCATCCTCCCTCACCAGGCTCCGCCTTCAGCCCCAAACACCTGTCGGGAGCCCCCAAAGGCTTGGATTTCCCATCCCCGCCCCATGCTTCTCCCAAGAAGCGTCACCCCCCACCCCCACCCCCACGCCGGAGCAAGATGGATTGGACGGGCGGGGCCGGGGGTGGGATTTGTCCGGCCGCTTTGCTCCGGTTGCTACCGCTGCTGGAAAGGCAGTTCCAGGCGCGGCCACCTCTGCGGGCCCGGCTGGAGAGCCCCGGCGTTGGCGAATCTGGGAACCGACGTCCGCGCGCCGCTGGCTGGAATGCGCCCGGCTCGCCTCCGCGGCGCTGTGAGTCCCCGAGAGGAGGCTGGCGGTCTCTGGGCGTTCTTCCTCGCACCCAGGCCCTTCGCTGTCCTTGTCGAGATTGATTTCTCTTGCCTACCCGCCCTCGCCCACCCTGATCCGGGCTGGGAGTGGTCCCTCAGCAAAGCCAGACGGATATTTAGCAGTGGTAATAACCAAGCATTGCTAGTTGTAGTAAGCCACAAGACAGCAGTTCCTCCAAAGGGCTGAGCCTTCTCGTCTCCCTTATAAGCTCGTCGGGGTGGAAATGAGTCCCTTCTCCTTAGAACGCACTGTGTGGCCAGGGAGCTGGGCCCAGACCGTACACGTTATCTCATCCACTCCTGCCTTCAGGGCCCAGCCCAGCAGAATCCCAAAGGTCTCCTTCTCCTACTCGGGCTCAGACGGAGTGTTTGGAGACTGGGCGGGGACGGAGCCCCCATAGGTGCGTGATGGGTGGTGCCAGGTGGAGGTTGGTGGGCGGGGCCCAAAGGTCTCGTTATCCTCAGAAGAATCTAACCGAAAGGGAACTTCAAGAGGTCACTATCTACTTTCTTGAATCTGACTCAGATTTCTCATATTGAAGCACAAAGACCCACTTCCGCTGAATATTCTTTTCTCCAGGCTGAAGGAACGTTCTTATTTTGGCCCAGAAATTCAGGCCTCAGCACTCGCTCTCTTCAAATTTGACTTAGAGGGCCTATCTCTGAGAGTTTATAATAGGAAGAAGAAAACTACTATGTAGCAAGTGCTCATGCAGCAGGAACTATGCTAAGTGCTTTACAAAGATTATTAAATTTTTTTTTTAGCATTTATTTATTTTTGGGACAGAGAGAGACAGAGCATGAACGGGGGAGGGGCAGAGAGAGAGGGAGACACAGAATCGGAAGCAGGCTCCAAGCTCCGAGCCATCAGCCCAGAGCCCGACGCGGGGCTCGAACTCACGAACCGTGAGATCGTGACCTGAGCTGAAGTCGGATGCTTAACCGACTGAGCCACCCAGGTGCCCCTACAAAGATTATTAGATTAAAGTTTCGCAACAATCTTCGAAGATTATCTGTTTTAAGATGAGGCAACCGAGGCTCAGAGAGGTTAAGCAACTTGGTGAAGACCACACAGCTCGGATTTTAATCCTATATTATCTGGCCTCAGAGTCCTCCTTGACCACTTATGCTAATCATTAACATTTGTACAATACTTGGGGCAACTCTAGGTTTGGCGGGGGGCGGGGGGGGGTGGTGGTGGAGCCTGAAGCCTGTACAATTTGGAGCCCTCTTTAAAGAGAGGATTAAAGAGCTGGGAGTACAAAATTAGATTCAGAGGCTGGAAAGGGACTTGCACGTTATAGTTTATGAATCATTTCACGTGCAGACTTCTATTTCACCCTCCTGGCCTCTCTGTGAAGTCAGGATTATCATCCTCACTTGACTTATGAGGGAGTCTGGATGTCCAAGGTCACACAGCTCATTTGAGTCGGAGCTAGGACCGGAAGCCCCTGACCACACCTATGTCTTTAAGAGACGAGTCCCAGGCAGATGTTGGTCAGACAGCCAGATGCATCTAAATGAAAGCAGCTGAAGTAACAGCATTCTCTGTGATGTTCTGCGAGACGACATCCATCCCTGTCTGCCCTTAGGACAGCATCTGTTCCCGGGCTGTGACTCCCAGAGCCACCCAGCCTCTCCCCGTAGTCTGCCTTCCAGTCTAGCGCCCATAGGGCCATCTAAGGTCAAGGAGCAAGAAGCTGACCGGGATGGAAGTTGACCAGTTACCTTGTTCCCCTTTGGGCTGGCTGCTGGGTCCTCCACTGCATTCCTGGAGGAGGGGAGACGTCCAGGGCCAGGAGGGCAGGGGCCAGGGTGGCCGCTTGGTGTGGGCAGGGGTCCCACCTGACACAGCTTTGAGCGTCCTGTGATGACATTTGGGCTCTATGCCAGGCATTATCTCTTTGGCCATCCCAAACGGGAATGACCAGCATGTCCGATCCCAGGGCTGGGAGCAGGAAAGGGAGGAGGGATGGTGTTTCCACTCTAGGGGAGTATCCTGAGGGAATGTGGGAGCCAGAGCAGGGCGCCTGGGAGGCGGGGAACTCCAGCTAAGGAATGTGGGGGAGTGTCAGATAGGTCTGGGGGAGACAGAGCAGGGATGGAGGGAGACGTGGACGCTGGAAGGGTCTCTGGGCTAGAGAGATGCAGAAAGGGAAACCGTAAGTTCATGACAAAGTTCTGAAGTCCTCTGGTTCCAGTGATGTGTCATCCACGGCTTTGTCTCATTCGTCAGTTGACTTTATCATGTCAGCTCTGCTCTGTGGAGAAGGGGCCCTAGTAGCTACAAAGGTAGACAGAGAAAAACAGAGACACATGAATAACATGCCTCAGGAGGACCCAGAGTCCATTTTTTAAACTTTTTTTAATGTTTATTTATTTTTGAGACAGAGAGAGAGAGAGAGAGCGAGCAGGGAAGGGGCAGAGAGAGAATGGGAGACAGAGGATCGGAAGTAGGCTCTGTACTGACAAGCAGTGAGCCCGAGGCAGGGCTCACACTCACAAACAGTGAGATCATGACCTGAGTCAAAGTGGGATGCTTAACCGACAGAGCCCCCACCCCCAGGCGCCCCTCGGAGTCCTGTTTTTGATTGGCTGCTGACAGCTTGTAAGCACCCCCTCTCCCTCTTCCCCTTTGCCCCACACCCGGACAAGCTGACAATAAAACTGGGGGGCTGTGTTCCCTCCTTTGGCATCCGTGGAGGATTCGAACTCCGTCAGGCCTTCTCTGCTCAAACGCTCACTTTGATCTCACTCCCCAACCACAAGAAGGCAATCTCTTTTCCTTGCTCTCCCTGGCTGGTTCAGACCTTGCTCCACACGCCAGCCCTGCTCTCCCCCAGAGACCTCAATTATGTAAATAACAAACCTTTTCATGCCCTCTTGGCGTGTGTGTGGCGTCATCAGTCTTGAGATCAAGCAAAACCTTGGGTGGGGTCCGGCTGCCTCTGGGGGAGCCTTGGCAACAAGCCAACTCTGGGTTGTGCTGTAAAGGCAGGGAGGCTTCTTGGAGGAGGAGTATCTGGAGGAGGAGGAGGGAGAAGGGAAGGACTAGCAAGACGGGGGCCTCGGGACAGAAGAGGGCAGAAGAGCCGGGGCCTGGTTTGGGGTGAAATTTCCCCAGTCGCAACAATGACAACGTCAAGATTCTATAAAGGCGCCTCGGTTTATTTAGCGCTTGCTGGGTTTGCACTAGCCTTCCTCTGGGTGACCACCCCTGACCCCATCTCGCTCGCCCAGAGCTCCAGGCTTGCTCAGTCCTCACAGGAAGGTCAGCACGCAGATGGGGTGTGCCCAGGCAGCTGGGGAGAGAGGTGGAGCAGAACTGGGGTGCCGTGTGTGTGTTGAGTGCAGGCTCTTTTCGGCCTTCTCACCTTGGGCAAGTTACTTTCCTCCTCCGAGCCTCGATTTCCCCATCTGTGCAACGAAAGGGCTGGAGGAGATCTCTCATTATTCCCTCGCCGGCATCCCGTGTGTCCTAAGGCTCCTAATATTTGTTGAACTAAGTGGATGAGATCTCTGCTATTGAATTAAGACTCAGGTCTCTATCTCTGATCTGAATTGGAAATGCAAATTACTGAGGAGGGAGGGAGGAGCCGTGAAGCATGAATGGGTTTATCAGATTTCCTTTCTCCTGTGACCTAGATACCGGCAGGCGCCTGGTCCCCGGCTCAGAATCTGTCAGCCTCAAACATTCATTGACAACCTACGATGGCCTGGCACAGAGCTGAGAACCTCCAGGGGTGTCAGAGACGAACCAGAACATCTTCCAGGGAGGCCTTCACCTTGACCCCATATTCGAGCTTTCACCTTGACCCCACATTCAGAGAGCTCTCAAATGTAAACAGCCTAAGTCTGCACCACATTGTATTTTAGGGCTGGGGGGGGGGGTGGTGGACGGGCAATGGGGGTGCCACGCAGTCACTCTTGAATCTTCCAGGCCTTACGGTGACTTCCAGTCTGGGCTTGCAGTGTGATTATAGAAACCCGACGCACAGGTTTGTTGGAAAACAGTAGAGCTGAGGCCCAGAAGTCGCTCACTATGAGATAGTTGTGCTGCACTGTGGATTACACTTGTATTCCCAGCACCCGTGACGGTCACTCACACGCGGTAGTGCGTCTTCAGCCACCGTGTGTCCAGCTGAATTCAGTTGGCCACATGCTCCGTACGGCCCTAAATCAGAGAACACAGTAGAGGTGAGTGAGAGGCCAGCTCGGTCTCGTAAATATCCTCTTGCTCCCGTCCCCTCCCCCACCCTGGGATCCTGTTGGGACAAATGTCTTGGCTCAGTGGGTTGAAAAGGAAAGTCAGAATTCTGAGGCATGAATTGCTGTGCCCACTGACTCACTTCCTCCTCCCCACCCACTGCAGACCCAGCCGGGCCCTGAGTAACACAGGTTGCAGCCTTCTCCCTGCCCGTGCCCCTCATCCGAGCACTCCACCCCCCCCAGCCCTCGCTGCGGACCTCACCCGTGAGTGGAAGGGCAGTGATGCCAGTTGCCCCTGATCTGAAATGCGCTTGCAAGTTTTGGTGAGCTAGGGGGCAGGGGGTGGGGGTGGGGGTGGGGGACGGGAACAAATTCTGCTCTCAGGACCCCGAGCCTGATGTGCAAGGCAGAGCACCCCTCTGGAGTTTGACCTGGGAGGTACCAGAAATTCCCCTCCTCATAACGGGCACTCTCCTTTCCTGCCAGGATCACAGAAATTCTCACCACGAGGCAACCTTCCTGTTGCCCTAAGGCCTTGTCTCCCGAACGTTCTTATTAAAAGGCAGGGAGCTCACCTGGCAGGGTAGCATGTGGGCTCCCTGGCAGGGATGGGGCAGGATGTTACAGCATCTCCCACAGAGCCCAGGGCCCTGGGTTATAAATGATTCAGGCAGCAGGAAGGTAGGGGGAGGGAGGGAAGAGGCCAGGGCTGGGACAGAGAATGATTTAATGGAGGGGGGTGGCAGGCAGGCCCCTGGCACTGTCCTTACTGGTTCCCAGTTAGCGTGATGGGCAGTGAAGAAGGGATTTCACTTTCCTGCAAAACAGTGCCCCCGAGTCTTGGGCTTTTCCCTCTGGAGGTCCCTTCCCTGCCTTGTCCTGGGCTCCTCTGATGGGAAGAAGAGTTGTAAGGGCTTGGGGGACGTCACGGCCACTCCTCGGTGGCAGAACTGCTCTGGGCAGCACTCCTGACCGTGGCTCGGAGGCGGAGCGCGGGCACAGCCCATCTGGACTGCCGAATGAGATGGAGCTCAGGGGTACGGTGTGGGGGGTGGGGTGGGGGGAGACAACCAGATGCGCACGGGGACACGGGCCCAGCGAGGGGTCACGGGCGGGGCAGCCGGGCAGCAATCACAGAGGCTGCAAGGGACACGCTCAGGAAAGGCTTCGGCTTGCCGGCCTTGGAACTGAAGGCAACGGCTGGGTTCACTCACCCCTGGGAGTGAGCCGAGAGCCTTTGCGGCTTCAAAAGACCGATCCGGGGCGGATGCAGGGATGGACCCGAGAAAGGACGAGGACCTGCCCTGCTGCAGAGATGTACATGGACGTGAGAGATACGTGGGTGAGGGCGGGGGCAGGAGCCGGTGGCGCGTCGGTGCAGGGGATGCGGGAGAGGTCAGTAGCCAGTAGCTGGCGAGTCCGCGGGACCTCGGGGGCCTCCTAGGTGGAGGTGTGTTCGGCAATCTGCCAGAGGCCCCGGGACAGGGGTGGAGGCACACAAGGCCAGAGTCCGGGAGGGCCCCCCAAAGTGGCGTGCGCCAAACCTTCCGGCAGAGGGAAGATCCTAGAGGCCTTTGCCCAGAAGCACTAGCCTCAGCTTGGATGTCAACCGGGCTCCTTGGGGTCAGGCTTGGCCCGCAGCAGGCTCCCCTGAGATAGTTCCCAGGGTCTCTCACCACCTGCCCCCTGGACTCCAGGCATGGCACCACCCCCATGCCCTTCCTTCTCTTCCCTTGGACAATCATTACCTGGCCCCAGGGCTTTACTACCCTGACCCTATTCAAAACTAACCTTAGACGACTCGCTGCTCAGCCCGGGGCTTGAGGTTCCTCCACGACCACCTGCTTCCCTTTGGTCCTTGCACCCCCCACTCCCATCCTTTCCCCCCGGCTCCAGCCCGTGGGGGAGGGAGATCATCCCCCAAATCCGGCTCGCCCCTTTCTCGAGACCTTTGCCCGGAGTGCCTGAAAGCAACATGCCAGCATCTTCCTGCCCATCGATAGCTCCCCTTCCATCAAGGCCCATCGAGGCCCACTCCCAGCTCCCCGGGCCTCAACGGATGCTTTCTCCTCTGGCACAGCCCTGTTTTTCCCTCGGACAGAGCGCTCGCCATATTGGGCCATATGTCACTTATTAGCTGGGCGAAGTTGCTTAAGCTCTCTGTGACTCAGTCTCTCTGTCTGCACTGGAGCTAATAACGGCACTCTAACCCTAGAGTCGTTGCGGAGAGTAGATAAGAACGTGCACAGGGCCCGCCGCAGAGTAAATAGGCCAATAAATGTTATTATTTTTTTTTATTGAGATGGTGGGGGGGGGGGTGACGACAGGGCTCCCAACAGCCCTGACTCTCAGAGAAGGCAAGCCCAGACCACCCCCCTCTCTCTCCACCCTGCCCATAGCTCCTACGACACTGCTCTGCTGGGAGTGGAGGTCAGTGATATGCCTCAGATTGAAGCTTCTCTGGTCCATCAAACAAATCGCAGTGCTCCTTTGTGGGTTCCCTTCGGCTCCATTCACTGCGGTGCGTGGACGTTTCTGTGCCTGGGAAATGGCTCCCCAAGAGCTGGTGGCGTTATCAGCCCCTGGGGAACCCCCATCACAGAGGAGCCTGGCTGACCTTCCCCGGGGCTCAGAGTGGGACTCCAACACAGAGATGGGGACCGGTGGAGAGTGGGCATCCTGGAATTCTTCCTGGAGGAGGAAAATGGGGAGAGCTAGGCTGAGAAAAGGGGTGACAGGTTTCACGGGGAGTCTCATTGCGCCAAGCTCTTTATGTAGATTGCGACCTTTATTTTTCAGGAGGAGCCTGTGAAGTCAGTCCTGTAATCTGCTTTTCCAGAAGGAAGCAAAGGCCCGGACTGACAAAGCGACATGCCCGAGGTCACACCATTCCAGAGGGGAGCAGGATTCTAGTCCTGATCTGCTGGGCTCTGAGGGGAGGGCCAGGCCGAGGATGGTGGGAGAATTCCAGACTCTGGCCAGCTGCCCCTGCATCCAGGGAGGCTGTGGGTGGGGTGGAAACAGCCACCAGAAGCCAGGGGCACGCGGCAAACAAGGGTGCCAGGAAATGAACCGGACCCAGGGTCCTTCCTCCCGGCCCGCCCTGTGCCCCTGGCCAACTGCCACCTCCCTTTGAGGCTTCTCCCTGCAAGAGAACAGAGAAAGCTGGGCCAGAGCCCAGGGATGGCCCTACACGGGGGGAGAGGGGGGACCAGGAGGGTCTTGAAGCCCAGGAGGAGCCCTGCCAGGCCTAAGCGCCCCCTGTCCTGGGAAGAGAGATAGAGATCCAAGGGGTCTCATCCTGTTTGTCTCAGATGGAGCTCAGACTGGGGCCTCGCACAGAGAAGGCGCTCAATAAATGTGTGTCGAAAGGAGGTACAGCAGGTGTGCCGTCCAAACTGCGAGGCTGGAGGCGAAGAGGCCGGGTCCGGACACGGTTTCTGCCCCCGCCTCGTGACCCTGGACGAGTCTCAGAACGTCCCTATCCGTCAGATCAAGCTGTTATCCTGGAATGTGCACCATCGCTTGGGTCCCTTCCAGCTCTGACAGTGCAGTTCTATTCATTCTTTTACTCACTTGCTAATTTGTTGTCTCAGCGAAATACATCGTGGAGCCCGAGAAATATACTTTGGTACTAATGAGGCAGTGGGCAGAGTGGCGGCAATCGGCAAAGCTTGTGGGGGGATAGTGACGGGTCCCCCTCTTGAGCAGGGACTCTGGGGTCAGATGGCCTGGGTTCAGATTCTCCCTCCATGACCTGCTCACTGAGTAACCCTGGGCAAGTTACTTACTCACGTTGAACTTGGACTTCCTCATCTGTAAGATGGAGATGATAGGAGGATATACTTCATAGGGTGTAAAAATTAAATGGGATAATACAAATAACTTGCTTAGGGAAATAGTACACAGCAGGCACCCAACAAGTCTTAGCTCTTCCCGTTCCTTAGAAGGCGAGCGAACTCCAGCAGACAAAGGGGGCTGCTGTGTGGGTGCAGGGGTAGGGGTGGGGGGAAGCATCAGAACAGCATGTGCTTAGATACAGAGGCGGGAAAATCCAGTACTGCCGAGGAGCACCAAGAGACCCGTCCAGACTAAGTGGGAAGAGGTAAGTTGGGCGCAGATGGTGAGCGGCTTTGGTCAGGCTGAGAAACTTGGATCTGATCCTGTAGGTTGGCATTTCCCAACTGCTGCTCCCCAGAATTCCATGAGCTGTTACTGGATGTTTTATAAATATTTCAGGGCACCCGGGTGGCTCAGTCAATTAAGCGTCCGACTCGGGCTCAGGTCATGATCTCGTGGTACGCGAGTTCGAGCCCCGCAGTGGGCTCTGGGCTGACAGCCCAGAGCCTGGAACCTGCTTCGGATTCTGTGTCTCCCTCTCTCTCTCTGCCCCTCCTCCGCTCACATTCTCTCTCTCTCTCTCTCTCTCTCTCTCTCCCTCCCTCAAAAATAAATAAAATTTAAAAATTAAAAAATAGGGGCGCCTGGGTGGCTCAGTCAGTTAGGCATCCGACTTCAACTCAGGTCACGATCTCGCGGTCTGTGAGTTCGAGCCCCGCGTCGGGCTCTGGGCTGACGGCTCAGAGCCTGGAGCCTGCTTTCGATTCTGTGTCTCCCTCTCTCTCTGCCCCTCCCCCGTTCATGCTCTGTCTCTCTCTGTCTCAAAAATAAATAAACATTAAAAAAATAAAAATTAAAAAAATATATATATATAAATATTTAAGGGGTGGGGGATGGGGGAGAGGACAGGATGACTGGATGTCCACCTGCAAAAGAATAAAGCTGGACCCCTACTTCAGATCAGGTACAAAAATTAACTCAAAACGGATCAACGATCTAAATACACGGGCTAAACCAAAAACTCTTAGGAGAAAGCAGAGGGGTAAATCTTCGTGATCTTGGATTTGGCAATGGATTCTCAGATGTGACCAAGGGAAGCAGCGAAAGAAAATATAGGCAAACCCAATGCCGTGGTCTCGATGTTTAGGCCCGTCCCCCTCCCCACCACATCTGTATGTGACAGTGCTGATCTCCAAGGTGGAGGTGGGGCCTTTGAGGGGTGATTAGGTCGGGAGGTCAGAGTTTCTGGATTGGGATCAGTGCCCTTATAAAAAGAAGCTCCCCAGAGCCCCCCAGCCTCATGTGAGGATACAGGGAAAAGTCTGCAACCCGAAGAGCGTCCTCACCTGACTGTTGTTGTGCCCTGATCTTTGACTTCCAGCCTCCAGAATAAACGTCTGTTGTTTATAATCTACCCACTCTGTGGTATGTTGTCGCAGGAGCCTGAACGGACTAAGACACTGAACTTCATCACAATTTAAAACTTCTGTGCTTCAAAGGACCCCTTCACAAAAGCAAAAAGATAACCCATAGAATGGAATAAAATATTTCTTTTTTTTTATTTTTTTTTAAAGTTTTTTTTTTCAACGTTTATTTATTTTTGGGACAGAGAGAGACAGAGCATGAACGGGAGAGGGTCAGAGAGAGAGGGAGACTCAGAATCGGAAACAGGCTCCAGGCTCTGAGCCATCAGCCCAGAGCCTGACGCGGGGCTCAAACTCACGGACCGCGAGATCGTGACCTGGCTGAAGTCGGACGCTTAACCGACTGCGCCACCCAGGCGCCCCAAAATATTTCTAAATCATAAATCTGATAAGAGATTGGTTTCTAGAATATTTAAAGAACTCTTACAACCCAATAAGAAAAAGGCAAGCTTAAAAATGGGCAAAGGATCGGGGCGCCTGGGTGGCTCATTGATTAAGTGGCCAACTCTTGATTACGACTCAAGTCGTGATCTCAGTTTGTGAGTTCGAGCCTAGCATTGGGCTCCGTGCTGATGGTGCAGAGGCTGCTTGGGATTCTCTCTCTCTCCCTCTCTCTCTCTGTGCATGGATGTTCTCTCTCCCTCTTTCTCTCTCTCTCTCAAAATAAATGAATAAGGGGCGCCTGGGTGGCGCAGTCGGTTAAGCGTCCGACTTCAGCCAGGTCACGATCTCGCGGTCCGTGAGTTCGAGCCCCGCGTCGGGCTCTGGGCTGATGGCTCGGAGCCTGGAGCCTGTTTCCGATTCTGTGTCTCCCTCTCTCTCTGCCCCTCCCCTGTTCATGCTCTGTCTCTCTCTCTGTCCCCAAAATAAATAAAAAAAAACGTTGAAAAAAAAAAATAAATGAATAAACTTAAAATTTTTAATGGGCAAAGGATCTGAATAGAAATTTTTCTAAACAAGACATACAGATGGCCAACAAGCCTATAAAAAGATGCTCAACATCACTAATCATTAGGGAAAAGCAAATCAAAACCACAGTGAGGGGCACCTGGGTGGCTCAGTCGTTTAAGCGTCTGACTTTGGCTCAGGCCATGATCTCACAGTTCATGAGATCGAGCCCCGTGTTGGGCTCTGCGCTGACAGCTCAGAGCCTGGAGACTGCTTCGGATTCTGTGTCTCCCTCTCTCTCTCTCTCTCTGCCCTCCCCCACTCGCATTCTGTCTGCCTCTCTCTCAAAAATAAATAGACACTTAAAAAAAAAAAACCCACAATGAGATATCACTTTATACTCCCGAGGATGGCTTGAACCAAAAAGTCAAATAAATAAGTGTCGGTGAAGGCGCAGAGAATTCGGAGCCCTTGGGCATGGCTGGTGGGAATGTTAAATGATATGATTGCTTCAAAAAATAGTCTGGCATTTCCTCAAAGAGCTAAACATAGACTCACCATTTGACCCGGCAATTCCACTCCCTGGTATATACCCAGGAGAGATGAACACAATATGTCTGCACAAAAGCTTGTACGCGACTGTTCGTGGCAGCATTATTCGTAACAGCCCCAAAGTAAGACTCACCCAAATGTCCGCCAACTGATGAACAAACAAAATGGATCACATCCACACAGGGGACTATTATTTGGTCACAAAAAGGAATGAAGCGTTAATACACATTATAGTATGACTGAACCTTTATGATACACGAATTATATCTCAATAAATTGTAAAGAAAAAGGAAACACAGGCAGGGTGTGAATCTAACATCATATTCATTGGGGGAAATTCTGGGTCCGGGAGGGGATTGTTTATGTTTGTTTGTTGGTTTAGCTTTGGGAATTCTCTGAGCTAACGCACATTGATTGGCAAGCTTGGACCACGTCTGAGTGTTGTGGCATTTCCCAAAATGATGGCCATAGTTTAACCACAGAACCATTTCCAGAGGAACGTCTCTTTGCTTTTCCCAAAACGCTTTTCACAGAACACAGTATGGCAAGTTTGGCCATAAGCAATGGGGAGCCATTGAAGGTTCAAGCAGGGGGGAGGGCCTGGCTAGAGCTGGGCTTAGAGGGAGAACAGGCTGCGGTGGGGGGGAGAAGGGAAGGAGGAAGGACAGCCTAGTGACCTGGGGCCAACGAAGTGGTTAAAACGCATCTGAATAGACTTTTCTGCAAAGAAGATACACAAAAGGCCAGATGAGTACTTAAGGAGTTGTAGTCATCAGGAAAATGCAAATCAAACCCACAATGAGATACCACTTCTCACCCGCTAAGTGTGCAGGCAGGGTGGCAGGGGTCTGAACGTGGCCTTCACTGTGGAAGGGGTGGGGAAAACCATCCTGCCTCACCTCTCTTTGGCTCCTGGAAGGGGTGCTTCCCTCCTCCCTGGGCTCCCCCACCCGAGCCCTAGGAATTCCCAGACCCTCTCTGACCCAGACAGGAGCTCCCCACCACGCTGGTGCTTCCGGAGAGGATGCTAGGGACTGTCATTCATCCCAGCTGTGCTTACGTCCCTTTTCCTGGAAGGGGGATGGGCACCAGCCTGGCAAGGCTGGAGGGGGTCCAGGGAAGGCACCAGATCTAGAGACACACAGGAGCCTGGCGGGCGGAGAAAAATAGTGGGTAGGAGCAAGTTGACCTGATCAGAGCCAGGCTGGAGCGGGAGTCTGTGTGGCCTCAGAACACATTATTTCCCACAGAGCCTCCCTCCCCCAGGCCGTGAGAAGCACACCCAGAGCTCAGGGCCGAGAGAACTTGGAGAACTTGGCCTTTAAGTCTTAAAAGCCTCAGTCATAATGGCTCATGTTTATTGTGTCCTTAGTCTCTAGCCCGTGCTAAGTGCCCCGCCTGCATGATCTCATCTGATCCTTAAAGCAATCCTATGAAGCAGGTAATATTATTACCTCCATTTTACAGATGAGGAAACTGAGCTCTAGGGCCCTGCGATGACTTGCCTGATATTACACAACGCGACAATGGGCCAAGGCAGCCTCATGGAACGAAGTTAGATATTGAGCCATAGACACGGGAGCAAGGTTGGAAAAGTGCATGTGGAGGCCTTCTTCCCAGCCCTGACTCCAGCGCTCTGGTCCCCCAGCCCAGCCCAGAGCAGCCCTGCATCCACGGCCTCTCCTGAGGTCCTAGGAATTGGGACAGGGAGCACCCCTGAGACTCTTCAGCCATCCCCCTGCAGCAGGTAAATTCACAGCTGCCTGGTGTCGGAGTTGTCCAGAGATGTCCTTCAAAAGACAGAGGCCACGGGAGGGTGGAAAGGTCACAGGGAAGGTTGAGGGCTGTGTGTCCCCCTCCAGGCTCCCGCTCCCAGTGGGGCAGGGAAGGGGACCCCCCCACGGAGTCTCAGGGCATCCTCCCAGCAGCACTCAGCCCTTCTAGCCAGGGTGACGGCCGGTAGACAGCTCTTCCAGAAAGAGACACGGTAGAGCAGGGCGAGGACCGAAGTTTATTCTCCAAAGGCCAGAATGGGACTCACTTCCATCCCAACACCAAGTCAAGGGCTCCCCGAAGGGCAGAAGCTAGATTTCAGAAAGAACACCCATCAGCAAAGGATTTTGGAGTCGAGAGAGTAAAGGCTTGGGGTTTCCCGGCTGGACCAGACTCTGGTGAGCATAGAGGCGGGGGCGTGGCTGAAATGGTACCACCGTGGGTGACGAAGAAGATGGGGTTCCTGTCTGTGGCCAGACCCGCTCGAGGGCCTAGCAGATCCCTGATGCGGATCTGAGGCAGAGGGATGGACACCGTGGCCTCCCGCTCCCGTAAGCCTTCTGTGGCTGCAGGAAAAGAGTTGGCTGTGTGCGGAGGGGCGGGTACCGTTCACTCCCCAAATATTTACGGACAGTGTTCTTAGTGCTGGGCCCAGAGCCAAGGCTCTTGGGTCAGGCCCTGGCTGTGTCCATTACTCTTGTCTCCCTCGGGCAGGCAGACCCTGGACGCGGGGAGGGGAAGCCGGAGGAGGCAGGAGCCTGGCTCACCCTACGTGGGGGATGGGACCTGTAGAACAGTGAATATCCCACAGCCCACCCTCCGGCGGGGATCTGGC